ATTCTATTGCACTGCAAATAGGACCTTTCTAAGCTCCGCCACACACTGTACTTGCAAGTATAACAGCCCAAAGGACCAAATCCAAAACTTAAATTTCAGCAAGTCAGTAGATGCTAAGAAGTGAGATTAAGAACTTAAAACACATCCTCAGCTATGATTTAATAGGACTTTTCAGAGTATTCCGTGTGGAAATATTTTATGTAGCACTATTACCATCTCTATTTTACATATTACAAAAACGAGGCGTAGTGGGAGTAGATGACTTGCCGAAGATCACATAATTGGTTGGTATTAGAGGTGGAATCTGAACGAAGGACATCAGATGCATAGTTTCCTACTTGTGTTTGCATCTCATGCTGTAGACTCTTGAGCCACTGAGCTTGCTTCCCTTTCAAAGAATCATAGTTCTTAAATTGTGAGATCTCCCTAATAAGCAATTTTTGACAGAACTACACACATTCAAATATATTGTTTTGTTTAAGTAGCACTTCTGGGTGCCTTTTATTTTATTTTATTTTAAATATTTTATTTATTTTTAGAGAGGGAGGAGAGAGGGAGAGAAACATCAATATGTGGTTGTCTCTCATGCACCCCCCCCTCACTGCGGACCTGGCCCACCACCCAGGCATGTGTCCTGACTGGGAATCAAACTGGTGACCCTTTGGTTTGCAGGCTGGCGCTCAATCCACTGAGCCACACCAGCCAGGGTGCATTTTAAATACTGTATCCTGATCAGCATCAATACCATTATGATTATTGTCATGATTCCTGAATGTATGGGGATACAATGGTAGACCTGAACAGATGCTGTCCCTGTCCGTTATAGAGCTCACTGTCTGAGCAATTAATCATACATGTATATACATGCAATGATGCGAAGCTCTGTGAGTCAGAGTTGCTGAGTACCAAGGGAGCACAGAATAGGGAGAGTTAGTAGAGTCGTGCAGCTCATGAAAGGCCTTCTTAAGGAAGTAACACTTGAGCAGAGATTTGTTAACACGACAAAATCTGAGGCATGAACATGCCATGGGATTAAGCAACATGGCAAGCACCAATATGAGTGGAGGGGAAGAAATGAGATGAGTAGGGGACGAGATGAAGGACAATGCAGGCATAGGCCCGACTGTGAGGGGCTTTTAGGTCATGTTCCGTAGTTTGCTTGTCCTACCCAAAGACCACTGGAGAGTCCTGGTGTTCATCAGGGGTGTGACATGCTCAGGCTCGCATTTTTGAACAATCATCCTGGTTGCCGTGTAGAGAATGAAGTGGGGGATGATCCGCTGTTGGTCCAGGTAGGTCGGTAAGGTAACCACAGCTGCTACATGAGCAAGAAATAAAGATAGCTCTGCTGGGGTCATGAAGGTTGAGACAGAGAGAGCAGCTAGATCCGGAAAATATTTGAGATCAAATCAATAGGGCTTGGTGAAGAACTGAATACGGTGGGCAGTGGAGAGGGAATCCTAGAGAGGATGCTTTGGCTTTTGGTTGGCGACGATGAACAGGGGCAGCAGAATAGAAACTGGGTTTGGAGGAAGCATTAAAGGTTTGGTTTTGACGTGTGGAGTCTGAAGAGCCTTTGACACATCCAACAGAAAGTGTTTAGGAAGCAGTCGGATGTACAGGTCTGGATAGAAACACATATTACCTATTTGTGTTTCCTCTGCACAGAGGGGCATTGGAAATTATGCATGTGCATAATATTGTGTTGAGTGAATGCAGCATAAGAACACAGGGCCTAGAATACAGCCTTTAGGAGGTTCAACTGTCATTAGCCAGGTAGAGGAGGGTATGCCCGCCAACGAGACAGAGCAGGAGGCAAGCCAGGAATGCACTGTGTCACAGGGTTGAGGGAGGAAAGTGCTTTGAGAGCAGAACGGTGGTTGCTAGGGACAGAAGAGAGAGGGAAATGCAGAGCTATTAGTCAACGGGTATAAAGTTCCAGTTGTGCAAGATGAGTAAGCTCCAGAGACCCAGTGCATGACGCTGTGCCCATGGTTAACAACGCTGCGCACGTGAAAATCTGTGCAGAAAGTAGATCGCACGCGAAGTGTTCTTACCATGATAAAATAGAAAGCAAACTTAAAAAAAAAAAGGAAAAGAAACTGGTGGTGTTCGATGTCATGGAACTGTCAAGTAAGATAACAACAAAAAATATCCTTTAGTCTTAGTTACATGGAATGCACTGGCAGACTTAGTGAGAGCTATTTCTGTGGATTGACAGAGCTGGAATCCAAATTGGGGAGAGCTGAGAAGGAAAATGAGGAGGCTAGACTGGATCCTCTAAAAGCCCCTTCTAACTCTAAAATAATACATTTCATGCTGTTAGCCAGGGCGTCCCTTTGTTGCTGGCTTCCCTGCTCATCCTACTCCCGGTTAATAACAAGACTGCTGTTGAGAGAAATTATTTCCAAATACTATATCACTCTGAGCAGCATTACAACCTCAAACAAATTTGGGACAAATCATTTTCATATCTATTCTTTCCAAAGAATCTTGAGCACACACAAAAAAATCTTGTATGGTTTTCCCAGAGCACCAATTGAAGAAATATATTTCCAGGAATTGATTACATCTTTTTGGGTCAGGGCTGCACGGATAAAACCAGGTCTAGCATTTCCACATGGATGAGTTGGAAGTGAACAGATTTGAAGCTGCAGAGTAGGCATGTCTCACACTGCACTACACGGTCTTCCTTTTCAACCGAATCACTTTTTCTGGGTTTTGAGAGTTAAGAGAACACATCTCTAAAACTGATTTTTTTTTGTATGGAAGCAGAATGCCTAGCACGGCTGCTTTTCATTACGGACAAGTTCCTATATTCTTACTGTCTGGGTGGCATAGAAATCCAATAAAAGGGTATATAAACCGTTGCCACTCAAAGTGTGGTCAGCGGACCAGCAGCATCAACCTCAGCTAGGAACTTGTTAGAATTAGAGAACCTCAAGCACCATCCCAGACCTACTAAAGCAGCAAGTGCAGTTCCACAAGAATCTCAGGTGATTGATATTAACAATAAAAGGCGACAAGAATTCACAATTTTTTCCCCTCAGAATGTTTTCTACTTTTTTAAAAACCTAAAATTCTCTGTTACTCTGCTATGCTATTTAAATTGATCCAGGGGCAGACTTCTCATTTATGGACCAAAAATGCATCATATTTTGTTTGAAAATGGAGACCTGTGCTGAAATGCCCAGGTGACTAACAAGGTACATTTTATAGACAGAAAGTCGCTTACTCACCCAGCTTGTGGTTAACATGTAATTTTCATTTCACCTTAGCAGAAACTGCTAATCACTTCCATCAAACTATTTACTCCTCCTCTTTTATTATTAATGGTATGTGTACATTTATTTTGAAATAGCAACATTACCTGTCATGCTTTTGTACAGGATTTATAAACTTTACCTCTTGTCTGTCTCTTTTGCCAAGTCAGAAGAGCTTCACTTTACTGCATGACCCTTCCTGGTGATTAACATTTGGACAGGGCAGATAATGGTGGAAAGAAGAAGGAGAGACTAGTCAAAGAACATGAATGAATGACCCAGGGACATGGCAACAGTGTGGGAATTGACTGTGGGAGCAGGGGGGTGGGATGGGCGGAGGAGGGCAAAGGGGGGGAATTGGGACAACTGTCATAGAACAACAGTAAAACATGTAAACCTCCGGCGGAGGAGGGTACTCAAGCTGCAGCCTCACCCTGTTTTATCTTGCTCCATTTCTTACCGTGGAGCCCTACTCTACCTTTTCACCAGGGCAGGAAAAGGTTGCTACTGCCCCCTTCTGGCCCATTGTATTTTTCCTCCTCTACAAAGCGGTGACTTCAAGAGGATGCCCAAGGATTTTGAGCCACTGAGGAAAACTCAACGGAAGGGGTTTTCCCTTGTAAAGAGGTACAGAGATCGTTTGAGAACAGGCGACTAAAGTAGAACAAAAACACTCAGGGGGTGAGGAAGGCACAAAGGATCTCTAGATTGGTTTATCTATCCCCATGAACCTTTTTCCTGCACACAGGTTGCTCTACCCCCCCCCCCCCAGCACAGGACTCCCCTTTGCCTGCAGGTTCCACCGTCAAGGAGTGGACTGCCAGGTCCCCCGTTAGAATTTCCGTACTCCAGGTCCTGTTCTCTGCTTCCCCCAATTTCCTTTCCGCACGCCCAGACCTAATTCCCTTCTCTTTTCTGCTTCCAACTCCTGTCCCGCCCACCCACCCACACACTCACACTGCCAGGAGCTCAGACTCTAGCCTCCCTCACCCTTTCCGCCTGCCCTGACCTCTGCTCTTCCCTGGGCGCCCTTCAGCACCCCTAAGCGGAACGGCCAGTCACTCTTTGCGTCGGAACGGCAGGCTGGTCCCCTCTCGCACGCCTCTCCCCGACCCCCGCCCCAAGCGACTGAAAAAGGAAACATGCGCACTTCAGAGCTAGAAGCTGTCCTAGTGCTGAAATTTATAGGCTGGGTAAGATCACGTCTCCGTCTCTTTCTGTAGCCCTCATTCCAGCACAGGAGCGCAGCATTTTTCCCCTGTTCTCCCTCCCCACCCCAGCTCGCGGAGTCCCTTTTTCTCCCTCATCTACAACTTCTTTTAGAAAGAGAACATTTTCTAGAGCAAAGGGATTTGCTCAACAGAAAGGACTTCAAAGCCACAGCCGCCCGACCTCCAGCATGGCATTGTCACCAGCCCCCTTTGCATGGTGAGGTGATTCCACGAGCAGCCTTTTTTTTTGTTGTTGTCGTTCTTTAGGAAAAGCAGCTGGGGGACTCATCAGTTCTAAGGCTTTGTCTTTCCTGGGTTAACTGATGGTCCTGAGCCCCGGTTTGACCTGACCATGATGCCTAGAACTGGCACTTTTTGTTTTTTCTCAGCAAACTGTTTTTTCAGCAAACTGAACCCAAATCTCTTTTTGATTTTCAAGGAAACTAGGTTCCTGCCAGATTTTGAATCTGGACAATAGACAGATACTTTGTCCCAGCTTCTTTCTGGAATCATTTCGGGATATTTTCCACAAGCATCACAGAAACAGGAATGAACCGGCAGCTAGTGAACATTCTGACAGCCTTGTTTGCATTTTCCTTAGAGACAAACCACTTCAGGTAGGTGAAAAGACTTCGCATGCTGATGTTTTCCGCCTGAAAACTGTTTGAAAGATACCGTGTCGTGCAATTTCTATCAATGGCTTATGCCCTGGACCATGTTATTTTAATTTTGTGAAGGAGAGTAAGGTTTCTTTTGTTCTTTTAAAAAGCTTAATTATGGTAGGGGAGTGGTAAATTTTCAGAGAGGCGAGTTTTAGGATGCATAGACCCACTCTGTGCATTTCAACACATCTTCCAAGCTGATGAGATATTAAAGTAGTCGGACGAGTTGCATGCTCTTTACATTTCTACATGATGGTGAATTTATTTTTATTTGATTGGATTTTTGCTTTCAAGTTCTTTTAGAAGTCATTTAAAGGGATTATTGGATACAATAGTTTTGATATGGTGGAGGTGACTAGATTCATTTGCCAAGACCATGCTCCTTTCATTTAAAATATTAAAAACCTCTGATTCTTAGCCAACTTGGGACTTCTATTGTATTTCAGCAACTATACGCATACTATGAGGACTAAAACTCAGGAAATTTCTTGAAACATCAGAAACACTTCGAATCTCATTTTGCCACTACATTCTACTCTTCGGTATATTTGAAATCAATTGCCTATCCAACTGTAATTAAAATGACATCTTTGTATTTATGTATGCATGAGAAATAGACTATGAATAATTCAAGGAAGTGAGAAATCGTTATTTGAATGCTTGCATTTTCTAACTAATTTACAAATTGTCAAATCCATTGACACTTCAAAATATCAGACTATCAGCAGTAAGTGAAATAGCCATCCTAATGAAAGAGGTTCTAAGACAAGATAAATGGGAGATGTTCATACAACAAAGTGTAGAACTCTTCGAGTGATCTTCACCCCATTTTCTGGTGTTTTTTCACAGAACCAAGAGAAATGAAACGTAGAGCAGCAATGCTATGAGTACTGGGAAAACCCACTATGTTCCTTTCAGGTTCTCACCTCCTGCTATGACTAAGGAAACTTGTAGGCTGGGTTTTATTAGGATCATCATCCTCATCCTCATGCTCATCCCCATCCTCAGTCTCCACCTCCACCACCACCGCCATCAGCATAAACAAATAGTACTTGATTGAGCTGATCCATCAGATGATGCTGCATATGGGAATGTGAGTATTTCTAGATGGTTGTATCATCTTCTAACTCTTACAAAACGTTTATATCATCTTTGCACTTATATTTAGTACTCCTTCTTTGAAAAGCTGGAAAGAATGTGGCATTGTCTTACTTACAGAATTAACGAGATTATTTATTAAACTGTTGAAAACAAAGCTTGCACAATACACACTTCAGAGTAGAAATCAACATTCAGTCACCACTATATATTGTGATAGAATTAATTTTCACTACAAACTAAATATGCTGTTCCTATAAGCCCTTTAAGGGAAATAAAAATCCAAACATATTTCCAATCAACATTCAGTATGGGTGATAATTCAAAAGATAAAACCATTTAGAAGTTCTCTTCTATGAATACTTTATCAGAGTCAACTACTTAAATGCTATTCTATAAATAACAACTGATGAAATAATAGAAGTACGGATATGCTCGCTGTTGACCTATTTTAGAAGGAAGTTACATTTCCAGGTGGAGATTTTCTTTCAGACATCACTGAAAAGTACTAATAGTTGACAGCTGGACTAAAGTCTAGCAGGTGAGAAGATAAGCAATAGGGTAATCAGTTCGTGCTTACTTTGTTCTGCCCATCTCATTACATATTTCTTATTAAAACTAGAGGATGGAGTGAGGGCTAAAATGCTAGAAGAAGTTTTTGAAATCTATGAGGAAATCATTTTGAGACAATCACCTACATTTTCGAAATTATCATCTTCACTTCTCTGATGACTCTGGAAAGAAACAGCTTCCCCTACACAGCCATAAAAGCTACAATCTAAAACTATGCACGGTGTGTCATTTTAAACATCTTGTGCATGGCTCAAGTTTGAAAACTTAAGAGATATGACGCAGGATGTATATCTCTCATCATTTAAAGTTAACTCTGGACCCTGTACAATTTCAGAAGTTGACCAGAGGGTTTGTAACCCTCTTTTTCTTCGAATATATTTCCAAGGCATGCCAAACATCCTGTGGGTGTGAGTTCTCAGGCAGTGGGGATGGAGAGGTTGCTAAAAGATTTACTGATGTGTTTAGGGCGGCTTTCTGCAAAGACCATGACTCCAGGTCCGGAAAACAACCTTCGCAGACCCTCTCTCCCTCAGATTTCTTGGACAAATTAATGGGAAGGACATCAGGATACGATGCAAGAATCAGACCAAATTTTAAAGGTAGGTTTTACTTCAACTTCAGTTATGCCTGTGGAACATCTTCTAGACATTTGAATATTCTAAAAAAAAAAGTTCCCAGGGCTTTTTACTATAAGATGAAAACAAGAATAGTATTCGTTCCATTTGGGCATTGTTTTGAGCTAGCTGATTTAATAGCTTACATTTGACAAGCTGCTTGCCACTTTTGAAAAGTTTCCTTATTTGTGTTCTGTTCCACAAAGAAATGTCAGAGATTATTGCCACATTCCCTGTTTTATCTTAACTGAGAGTGTGACTGGAAATAAATACAAGAGCAAATGAGGGACTTCACTTGTATGAATGCTTATCAGGACTCATACAAGATTCAATGGTTACCCCCAAATCCTCAGTTTGGGTTTTAAATACTTACTCCCAAAGTGAAAATTAAATCTCAGTGCAAAACACACCATTGTACACATTTTCAGGCCTCTCTCATTTTGAAATGGTGTGAGAAGAGGCTCTAGTAACACATCAGGAAAATTTGATTTCCTCTTATTTAAATATTCTAATTGTTTATTTGATGTTACTTATCTGAAATTCTCAAAAAAGATAATAGAATTATAAACTGCACATGTCAAAGAATGTAGATACTTTCTTTGTTCAATTAGAAACAAATAAAAAATTTGGTGTTTTCATTTAACACTACAAAAATGTAACTTATAGTCTGTAGAAATTACTTTTTAACTATTTGGTTTATGTTTATTCTGAATCAGAAAAACACTGTAATAAGAACCAATTATTAATTATTGAATTATTTTAATGCTTTACTTTTTAAATACATATTTTAAATGACAATTGCATTTTACCTTGTAATTTAATTTAATATAATGCATTGGGAAGTGTTTATAATATTTTATAAGAGGAGAAACCTATAATATTCTAGATGTTATGTCATAATTCATGCGTTGCTTTGGTTTTGCTTATTAGTAACTTAATTGGATTGCTTTCCTTGAGTTTTCTTTCATTAATTTTTATTACTGGCAAATATGAGCATGAAAACTAAATTCTAAATTCATTTCTTCTATAAATGCTACACCTCTGAATATACCCAGCTAAGGGCACATTTCATAAAGAAATACATAAGACTTTTGATGAAACACATGAGTTTGATTTGTAGAGTATTTCCGAAAGAGACAACAGAACTAAGTTCAAAGCTTGATTTTCCTGAAATCAATTTTCATGTTCACCCCATTTCATGTTAATTTTGGGATCATTACTTTGGAAGTCAACATTTGAAACAAAATTCTATAGGTACCCAGTCGAGAATCAGCTTTCCGTGGGACTGCTCAATTACACATTTATTCACTCAGCCACTCCATAACCTTTGAGTCTGACCTGTATGCCAAATACTATGGTGTGCTTTGAGAAGTTGAAAGGTGAAACAGGTCTGGGTGCTACATCCAAAATTTCACTGAGGAGAGTAGATGTTGCATGAATACTTATAAAATGTCATAATATGAAATATATATTATGGAGAAGGGAAGCCATTCATAGTTAAGTAACATTAGGGAGTACAGATAAAATACTACAGCATTCCAACAACTGAAGAGATGATTTCCTACTACGCTAGTCATGGGAAGCTTCAGAGAGACGGTCCAGAGATGGAAAACTGTTTCAAGTTCATGAGCAGCCTGTTTAATAGCAGTTATTACCCACCATTTTCTAGGAAAAGCATTCGATGGGATGTAAAAGTACAAAGAGTGACACATCATCCACGTTGTCACTGCTACTTTCAGCGACCATATGAAATGAGCAATCATTTCCACACACAGCTTTGTCTCTGCTTCTGTTGGGGGTGTCACCCTTTGGAAATAACACTTCTCATGATTTCAAATGCTGAATAAATGAAAAGAAGAAAGTATAGCAAACTAGGGCCATGTTTTGAGACTTATCAACTCCTTGAAGACCTGAGCCCGGAGCATTTTAAAGACTTATAAAAGGGAAACTGGGGGGATATCATTTAAGATTCTAATATGAATGGACTTCACAGCATTTTGTCTCCCTCTCCTTTTACCTCTCCACCTCAATGAACCCTGATGCTCTTTCATACGTGTTATTTCCACAGACCACTTATTACAGATTAATTACCTACTAGCTTCCACAATTCTCTTTACTCTGAGGATCTTGGATTTGGGGGGATATAAAACATTCCCCATTATTTTATTTTTTATAAAGATTTTATTTATTTATTTTTAGAGAGAGGGGAAGGGAAGGAGAAAAAGAAGGAGAAAAACATCAATGTGTGGTTGCCTCTCGTGCACCCCCTACTGAGGACCTGGCCCACAACCCAGGCATGTGCCCTGACTGGGAATCAAACCGGCAACCCTTTGGTTCTCAGGCCAGCACTCAATCCACTGATCCACACCAACCAGGGCCATTCCTCATTATTTTAGGCAAAAAGTATTTGCCTTCCTTGGTGTTCCCATAAAACATTGTATGTTTAACATGGTTATTTTGCATATTTATGTTTTATCAACCCACTCCACACCGTATCTGAGAGGGCAGTGGGGTACCTTATTTTACATATAGATATAGATGTAGATGTAGATATAGATATATACATATAGATATATACATAGATATATACATATATACATATTTACATATATACATATACATAGTATTATTTATATATTTATATATACTCCAGGAAAAGGAAGTCATCTTTTTCTGCAAAATGAGGAAAAGAAAACCGAGACAGGAAAATTCAGATGAATTATGAAAGTTAGTGTGCCCAGTGATTTGTAGTCATTGGATGGGATCTTTGGAGGGACCACTCGTAGTCACAGTGGCTAGCAAAGATGACCTCGCTGAGCTGAGCAGGAAGAAAGAAAAGGAGATAATGGGGAACTTGTAATACTGAGGAGGCTAAAAAGAACACTACATGCTTACTCTAGTTGATTAGCAACGTAGCAATGAGAAAATTTATATAGCAGGTAGAAATGAAGGGTGATTAGGAAATGTGATTCTATCTGGAACAGTGACAGGTTCCCTGCAAATGCCAAAAAATAAACTGACTATGATGACAATAAACATGATGATGATGATGATGATGATGATGATGATGATGCCGCCTAAAATGACAATGATAATGATTAATAAGAAGACAGAAGGGCAAGATTTGGCCACAAGAATAAAAGCAAGAGCCAGATATTGGCTGCTCAGGCAAAAGGAATGGCTTTTCTAGAAGTCTCACTAAATAATAGCACATTTCTCTGTGTCCTTGCTGCCATGCATTGGCAAGGGAGAAAAAAAATGCATATGCATGATTTTTCTTATTGGAAGGCATTTTTCCTGCATGCTTTCAAGTCAGTAAAATAGTTTGTGTCCGTTTCATGTCCCTCACAGACTCTGAAAGATGTCATAACGGGGATATATGCAAGAAGGAAGATGGACATAAGGTAGAAAAGGGAACCAGAAATGATTCAGACTTGGGTCTGTAATCGAGAGCCATTCTTAGAAGCTATAGGAAAAAAATAGCTTTTCTGATGTGAAGCACAAGTATATAAACAAAGTCATGAGTCAGAGTTGCCAACTGCATTACATCTATAAGATCCACAGAGACCTGGGTCAGATCTTGTCAAAATATAAATTTCCAAAATCCTCAGTTCAGATAAAAACACAAGCTATGTCCATTCACGACTACCTGGTGTTGAAATGATGGTAAATGTTGATTTTATGTCAACAGGGGAGTCTTACTTCTCACCTGGGTGTTTTATCTCATTGTCACTTACTTTATCACATTGTTATTCCATCATTTTATTAGATATCACTTTGTCAGTATAATTGTATCTTGAAAATGCCACTTTAAACATTAAGCTTTTAAAGAAGCCAGATGAAATGCTCAAACCTGGGCAAAATGAATTAGTTCTAATTCTCTTTCTTTGAAACAAAGCCTTGATCTAGTGTAATGAAATTTTCTTTGAAAATGAAATTAACTCAGGGTTATATCCTAAGTTTCATTCCAATGTGAATAACTATATTTCACCATAACACTCATTTTGGGTTCGGATCTAGAAAAGATAATGCCAGGAGATAATTATTCACTCCATCTCTTTGTGCATGCCATGCACACTAATTTTTTTCCATGTCTAGAGACCTAAATTTGAAAGTGTGATGTGTGACATTAAAACCTAAATTTGCATGCAATATGGCTTCCTTCGTTTCCCAGGGAGTTATCAGCTCAAGAGGTGTTCAAGATATAAGTAGAAATAGAACCCCTTCCAAAAAACCAGAGGTCTTCAGGTTTCTCCCCTTGGAAATGCTCTTATCTGTAGCCTCATAAAGCTCAAGCTCAAATGTTGTCCTTCCCAATGCCTGCAGAGGGTGGCTTGGGCACCAATGTCCATCTGGCAGGGACATTTGGAAAGGGCGATTTTCTCAGTGATGATGCAGCCCCAGTGCGATCACTTCTTCGATCACCGTGGTGGGCGTGGGCCTCACACATTACTATGGAGAGTGGAATGCTTGCAAGTATCACAAGTCTTTGATCTGAGTACAGAACGTAGCAGAAGCCCTCAGGCACCTGAAAGGGTAAAGGCATTTTAGAAGAAGATGATAGGAGATAAAAGGGAGGAAAAGAGCATTGAAAGGAAAGGCTGCAGGTAACAAAGGGACATTTATATATGAGTTTTGTTCGGGGATATTAATAAAGATTTGTGAACATCTGAAATCCACTGTGTCATAATTTAGTTTAGCTTTTGTGTGCTGGATGGACACCAGCTAACACATTTGTATAGACTAGGCTACTACTACTCTGGCCCTACAAGGTGCTTGTCAGGGATTGGAGGTGGCATCAAGGAGGAGGCATCTATAGTATTCCCACACACTCTAGTAAGGTACATTCCAATCAGTTCACCTTACTGGAATAAGTCTTCCACTCTGTGGTGACAAAGTAGTAGAGTGGAAACAGCCCTGGACTGAGATCCAGAAAACCCAGGTTCAGGTCCTCGTTCAGCCTTTTTTGGAAAAGGTGTCTTCAC